CAAATTGCATTAAATCGATATGAGAAAAGGGTCTACTGCCGTGTACGTATCTCGAGTAAAAACCGCAGAAATGTTAGATGAGAGTTGAACTAGCACGCTTACTCGCCACATGTTAAAGTATTGTTTTGAATTATCGATCAACGAACACTAAAGTAGGAATTAAAGCAGAAGAGATAGGAAAGGAAATTTGTCTATGTTTCACTTGCAATGAGGACTTTACACTTTGCACGAATACCTGTTTACGATGCATTCTTTATAAACAACCATGAGTGCTTTCCATTTAGTGACACAAGTCGACACAAGTATCGTTCTATCTTTCTTGACTTTCGATAATTAACAAGGACAACATGATACTTGTATCGACTTGTCACTAAATGAAAAGCACCCTATGTAACTTTTGGAAATGACATATACATATATACAAGCATACATACATACATACATATATACATACTCACACACACACACACACACACACACACACACACACACACACACACAAAATAAAAATATATATCATTATCTATAAAAATAATGAATAAAAGAAATGCACGCATACAATTATTCGTCAATCTGTGCTTGACAAACTCTTAATGACTTCAAGTTTCTTCATAACATTGTTTTTTCTTATAATCTTTATCTTTAATAAAGTGAAGAGAATCGATCAATATCATGCAGAAGAGATAGCAATTGAATTTTCTACATGTCTTTCTTAAAAATTAATTTTTAATGTAGAGACAAGAATCCAAACCTCTTTAGATACTAAAAGAAGAGACATATAAAAATAAAAATGCGCGAATATGCGAGATGGAAGAACGCGATTTTCACGATCTGTTCAGCTTTTCTTGCGTTTTCTTGCGAGGAGAACGTTAGGACAGGCTTGCATCGCACCCGAGAGACATTCTTATCATGCATCCACTGTCGTTTCAGTCTGGCTGCAACGCAGTTTTCCACGTCTCTCGTGCCTGACTTTTTCACGTCATCCCGGGATAACAATACGACGGAAAAGTTTCGCGACCGTTTCGATCGCACGATTCGCAAGTTCTCGCTCCGCGCGGGCTAATCTCTATAAATTGTGGCGCCACGCTGCCGCCATCGTCGTCGACGACGAGAAGTGTTTTGCAAGGTGGTAATTCCGCAAGAAGAACGTCGGGAACGAGTTGCCGTTTTCTCTAGAGACAACGTGACAGCGGTACTTTATGCAGCGGAAGCAATGGGTTAACACAACGGCTACGTGCATAAGCATATGCACAGAAGATTCGTCGAACGTCATTTAAAAAAGAAATTAACTCATCGTCATTATCGTTTGAAAGTCTCCCTCCTTCGCCTAACAGTTTCTTTTTTTAAGATAAATCGATCACGTACTTATTTTTCGCAAAACATGTCATCGTCACAATTTACTTGACAGACTCTTTAATAACTTCATATTGACAATTTTCTCTACAATACGAAATAAGCGAAGAGAATTTATCAGTATAAAAAAGAGATATTAAATCTTTTTCATGTTAAATCTTTTTCCTTTTTAAAAATTGGTTTTTAATTTGTAATGTACTTATTGATCATGTAGAGATAAGAAATGATTAAAATCTCTTCAAATATTAGAAGAAGAGACGTATAAAAATAGAAATGTCTGAGTATGCGAGATGAAAGAATATTCACGCGATTTTCACGATCAAGTTTTCTTGCGTAATTCACATTTGATATATTTACGCAGAGAATTTTTATTTTATATATTTATATATGTCAACCAAAAAAGTATCTATCTAGAAATAAAAGAAGTTTTAGAAAGCATTTATTGAATTACTTGTGTGAAATTACTTGTGTGAAATTTATGATGAAGAGTAATCAGCGATGTCTTGATTGAATCGATCTCGAAACATTTTTGGAATTTTTCTTATAATTTTCTATATTTTGATATTAATGAAAAATGTTATTATTTTCGCATTAACTAAATTTTAGTTTGCATTCAAAAGTTTTCTTACAAAATTGGTATTTTTGTATGACTTAAATAAATAATTTCATTCCATTCCATATTCCATTTTATGATATTTTAAAAAAATAACTATATGTATATATGTCAAAAATGTCAAATAATTAAGGTTCAAATGACATTATTAAGTTATATGTATAAGTTTCTTTTATGATTTGTCATTTATTTATTGTATTTGCTCGACATCATTCATTATATTTTAACAATAGAACACATTAA